TTTTGTCCTTTTTTTCAGACTCATGGTCTTTGTCTTCCCTGTCTGACAGCTCAGCAGGGACAACAGGACCAAATGCTGTCTTCCAGTTCATTTGGTTTCTGTGATTTTTGCTGACTGATCTTTCCAAGTGGACTCTGAGTACTGGTGAGCTCCAGGAATATTTTACTTCAAGTATAAGATAAGATCAGGTGAGAGCAGATCTCTCATCATTCATTATTCCTGTAAAATGGTAGTTTTCAACATTGTTTTAGTTAAGTGAACAAGTTTGAAAATTATGCTCTATTATTTAAAATTTTATTTCATAGTTGGCTACTACTTTTCCTTCCAGCTAGAACTCAACTGTGGATGTTATCATCCAAGGACACAGCAGCAGATCGAAGAGAACCTATCCCTTTTACTAGGAATGACTATTGTAGATACCTGCATGTTCTTGAGTGTCTGTTTCAGTTTGCCTCAAGACATTAAAGTCCAAAATTAATTTAAAATGAGGTGACTAGTATAGGCCTGTGAATTTTGTACACTGTGAGAACTATGGACTCACCGGAGTAGAAGTTATTTGCGAAAAAGAAATTAGATTTATGAATTCATTGCCTCACACTACTGTTAGTTTTGCCACCTTACCCTTGCTTAGAGGAAAAGTGTTTTAAAATAAGCATGTGGAGAATTATGAGCTCTGGCATATGTCACGAGGAAAGAAACAGTCTCTGTAATTTACATTCTTTGCAAACCAGACTTGCTTGAGATTGCTGTTTCCTTGCTATATGGCATTTGGAGTTCTAAATTTAATTTATTGTTCTAATAGTATTGAAATTAATTAATGTCGCCTTTCTTATGCTTTTCAGTATTTCATATCTGAGAAGGTTTTGAGTGCAAATGGCCCTGACTTTTTATGAGGTCGTATATGGCTATTATTAATACCAGGTGAAGTTTAGATATATGAAATTGTTGCTATGCAGAGAGCTGGTACTTTCACAGTATTTAGAATAAGCTACTTTTGTATTATAATATGACTTGGATAGTAGGCATTTGGCCTTGCAGGATTTTTTTGCCTTTTAAAACATGTCAACTCTTACAAATAGGAAACACTAGTTTCTCTAAAGTTTTCCTGAGAAATTCATCTTTGGCCTTGAAATAACCATTCTAAGTTTCGACTTTAAGGAGTTTTCTTTGTAAGAGAAAGTGAAGAGACTCAAATCCTATTTAGGAGAGGAAGCAGGGTTACATCCTTCTCTGCATAATCTTCACTGTGGCATCGTAGTAGCGAATTCCGTGTGAGTAGTAATGAAGAGCATAAGTAACAAAAAGCTGTGACAGACCTGTACACTGGAAATGGCAGTTTCACATTTTATATGTGCATTAATTTGGCTGTGATATTTCCTCCTCTTTTTTTGTTGAAGCTCGCCGTCATCTCCTGCTTCTGGCAAACCCCAGTGGAAACCATCTGAAGCAGATGAATTATCTCCACCAAAAAGTAAATTGAACGCCCAAGATGGGATTCAGATTCTTGGCAGCTTGGGAACTTCTAGTCGCACTCGAGCCAAGATAAAAGATGAGGACTCAGATAAAATCTTGCGCCAGTTGTTGGGGAAGGAAATCTCTGAAAATGTCTGTATGCAGGAAAAGCTGACTTTGGAATTTCAGGATGCTCATGCATCCTCCAAGAACGTGAAGAAGATTTTGCCAGAGAAAAGGGAGCTGAAGTTAGCCAGACTGAGGCAACTGATGCAGCGGTCACTCAGCGAGTCTGACACAGACTCAGCTAATTCTGAGGACCATAAGAACACCCCTGTGAAAAGAACTGACAAACCGAGGCCTCAGCCCATAGTGGAGAGTGTGGAGACCACCGAAAGTTTGCACCTGATGATTAAGAAACACACTTCTGCTGCAGGACGCCGCTTCCCTTTTGGTATCAGGGCATCCAAGTCTGTGGAAGGCCACAGTCCTTCCCCTACTTCAGAGAGCAGCGATCCGGATAACGAATCCCCGTATCAGCCCGGCACTGTGCCTCAGAGCCAGTTTTGTGGAGACAACTCTCCATCCAGCGCGGACAGTGCCGCTGCTCAAAAGGTTGCCACCAGCCCTAAGAGTGCTCTCAAGTCTCCCTCTTCAAAGCGCAGAACCTCCCAAAATTTGAAACTCCGAGTGACTTTTGAGGAGCCTGTGGTGCAGGTGGAGCTAGCAGAGTCAGAACTAAATGAGGAAAAGGATAAAGACCGGGGCAAAGGACTTGTGCGAGCTCCACCTGGCTCCGGGGAGCCGTCGGGGGACCAGCTGAGAAGGCCTTTTGGAACCTTCCGGTCCATAATGGAGACGCTTAGTGGCAACCAAAATAACAACAACAACTGTCAAACAGCAAATCTGATGAAAACCTCATCGACGCTGCCTTTTACCTCATTAGGAAGGAAGACAGCAGACAACAAGGGAAATCCAGCTGCTCTCACAAAAGGAAGAAATAAGCCAGTGAGTACACTGAGAGGAGGAAGGGCCTTTTTTTTCTCTTGTCTCTTTAAGTAATGAATAAGTTTGACAGCCTCTTCTTCCTGCGTTTCTATAGCAAAAGGATGCACATAAATACTTCACTGTATTTGACCTGTAGAAAACCCATCCACTGTTTTAATTTTGGATTTTTTTCCCAAAGAGTGGCAGGTATTGTTTGTGTAGAGAGTCCGTGCTCTTAGTGCACGTGGTTCACATATTCTGTGTTGAAAACTGTCCACAGAGATGTGACTCACCTGGAAATGATGTTTGATGTTGCTCTGAGCAACAAGTCCTACGAGAATGTCATGCTTGAATCCATGGGATTTTGGAGGAGTAAATAGCTGAAGAACTAGCCCTGTCCTGTCTCTTAGCTAAGACTGATGAAGCCAACAGGATACAAATAAGTGGTAGAATATAAAGAGGAAAAATAACAGAAGCGGTTCGTCCTGCTTCTATGGGAGCTACAGCCATCGCCGAGGTGTTGAAGCTGCCCATACTCATCCTTCTTTGCCCATCCTTCCCTGAAAGCACACAGTCTTCTCGTGACAGACCGTACGGTTGGTCTGTAGCAAAATGTACTGGATCCAGATCATCCCCTCTCTGCAGTCAACATGAGTGCCCTTTCTGGGATCCCAAGAGAAAAAGGGGGGTCTCCAGTTAGGAGGCTGGGTCTCTTGTTTAAAGGAAAGGAGGAAATACTTTGAACAAATGTAGTCTCCCAAGAGAAAGGAAAAGGTACTGGATGAAAGAGACAGAGGTAGGAAATACTGTGAGTGCAGTGTGTTTGTGGAGCAGAGAGAAGAACTGTGAGCATCTGGAGATACAATAAAGAGTTGAGTGAGAGGGAATGGTAGATGATTTAATCCTCTGTGAAAGACAAGGTGGGAGGGAAGGGGTGGATGGAAAGACATGAGGCAAAAGAATAATTTTAAGATGAAAAAAAAGACCATAAAGTAAGCCAAGAGGAGCAGGAATAGTGAATTATATACTGTAAAAAGTATGACAAGGTAATGGGAGAAAAACACAGGAAAATCTTAGGCATAGAGGAGGCAAAACGAGTATGGAAAAGAAACAGTGGAAAGAGAGAACTGGGAAACAGTGAGCAGTCCATATAAGTGAGTACTGCTAGAACAGCAGTGCTATAGCAGAATGTGAAATAAAATAAGAAATCTAAAGGAGACCTAAAAGGCTAAATTGAAGTGGGACTGCATTTATTAAAGTTTACTAGGAATCATAGTATGAACGACTGATTTGAGCCTTTAAAGACATGCATCATCTGGTCGAAGAGCCAATGTAACATAGAAGCATTTTCATAACACAATGGCAACTTTTTTCCAAAGAGTGATTCAGATTTTATAGTGACAGAGGAAAAGACAGTCTGTCTTCAAAGATATTCTGCTAGATTGCAAGGTCATGAGCAGTTTTCATAGTTCCCTAAGAAATTTGAAGAGTTGGATGAGGTAATGCTAACAGTATCGACGCTTGCACTGTGAAATGCATGTTGTCTGTCAAAAGGCCGTGTTTGCATGTTAATGTTGCCAGCATCAAAACTGTGGAAAGAATATGTTTGCATACCAGCCCAAAGGACCACAGCACGCAGCTCAAAGAGGTGACAGATTCAGCCTTGTTTACTAAATCAAACAGAAATCTGTTGAAATGTTGTTGTGGCTATTTGACTGCATGTTTTGATCGACTTTTGTGTTATGCATGTGGTAAGCTCAGTGCATGTCTTTAACTGATATAATGTTGTACTTCCTTAGGGTCCTTACTGCAGCTACACCAGTCTTTCTTCTAGCACGCTGAATGAAGAACTTCTGTATAACTATGCTTGGTATGTGCTTATGCATGGTGATGTTTAGCATCTTTGTTGGTTTGTTTTCTCGAATTGCATGTGTTTGCTAGCATTATTCATGACTGAAATACTGGAATTGATGGAAGCATAAGAAGGGAAACAGGCGAACAGATGAACCTCTAAATTCCTAGAAAAGCAGAAATTTATGATGGATTTCTGCTGATGTCACTGTTGAACTGACTACAGGATTTCAGTTCCAAGCCAGTGTAGAAAGTATTCATGCTCGTAAATCCACCAGGGAGTATAGCGCACTTTGGCTGAGTATTCAGCCTCTGTTGAATGAAAGTCAAGTACCAGATGAGAATGGAAATTAAATTTCCTCTCATGAGGAGAGCAAAAACACCACAGTTCATCTCTACATGGAGAGTACAGAGAACATGAGGCAGAATGTTGTACTTTAAGTCCAGTGCTCTCCTATTTTCATGTTTTTCTTACTCTCCCTCAGACTTTGAAGTTAAATCTGTTTTTTAAAAGTCTGATAACTTTTACTGTGTTCAAACTCTTTAATTTAGACGTTTTCCATCGGGACTGTTCAGACAGATAGAGCCCAGGTCCATAAAGACATGTTGGAAAAAACAGCATTTGATGAAATGTGTTCATTTTATAAGCAAATGCTTTGTAAAAAAAATCACCTGTCTTTATTCAACTCAACATTCCCAGATTCTCGTGATTATAATTTTTTCTGTTAAACTGAGATGGAAATCCTCTCATTAGGCCTGGAAACAATTGCTATTCACACTAACGTTATACCTTTGAAGACATTTCTAGGAAAATTATTAATTAGTCATTCTGCAGTTCAGGACCCTAATTTACTTTCAAGTTACTCTTTTCTAAATGCCTAATACATTTTTCGCTTGCTTTCTAGTGCCAGGACCTTCCCATACTTAAAAACTCAGGTTCTGTAACAGAAATAAGAATCTTGTTGTGAAGTGATTGGCACAGTGTATGTGAAACCAGAAACAAAGCTGTAAGGTTTCCAAGAGGTTTCATTATCTCCTGAAAACAAAGAGGGAAATTCCAGTGCACAAAACTGCCTGCACAGCAGTCGTTTGAAGGAGCATCAGTGGGCAGCCTCCAGTCAAAACACCCAGCTGCCTGTACAGACCGTGGAGAAATATAAAACCATCAACCTCACCCTGACGTTAGAGCCATCTCCCACATGTAGCCTGTTGTACTTTGATACTGCCTCATGTAAATGCTTTTATGTGAGAAATCCCTGGCAGTGTGGCATTTCCCCAGAAGCAGCGAGAGACAGGGATGGTCCAATTGCCGCTGCAGAGTTGACTGGTGGGAGGGTGAAGGTTGGGCCTGAACTTGTGACCATCCCTGCAGGCACTGCTGATCCAGGTACCGTGTCCTGAAGCTGCCTTTATGGCAGTGGACATGCAGAAAACCAGAGTGGGACACAAGAAGCAGAGTGCAGTAGGGACGCAGCTTGAGGAGGCGGTTACTGTACCCACGAATTAGGACAGAATTGGACAAAATAAGTGCCAGAGCCTGTGGTGTGAGATTTCCAAAAATCACACAAGAATGGACGATGTTTTGTGCTTTCCAGAAATCAGAACGAGGACCTGAAGGCTCTCAGAGCTTCTAAGCCAGCCTTTGTGATGACTTGTAGTGTGTGTTGTGATTTTTGAATGGCAAAATGGGTGCCTGTTATTATTCCACTGCATGCTGCCCTGTAGCCTGTGAAATTTAAATAATAGAAGAACCTTAGCATCACGTGCACTACAAGCCTCTGGACACTGTCTGAATTTTCCCTGGATGGTCTGGGGAGACTATGTGATTACCATTTCAGAGCTACTTTGAAAAAGAAGCTTTCTGGAAGACAGTGCAGTCTTTGGTGCTTTTAACCTTTGTAGATGGGGATTATATTTCTGGACACAGTCCCAAACCAATTTTAACTCTAGACTCTTATATAGTGGAATTTATTAGCATCTTCTGAAATCTGAAGTCATTATACAAAACCTACCTTCAGTCAGGTGACGTTTGTGTCCACCAGTTTCCAATTTCTTTTTCTTCAGCTTGTTTGTTTCGGTTGTCATATTTTTCCGTTCAAAATACTCAAGTACATCAAGGCTTTGTAGTTTACTTTTTCAGATTGCTCACAGCTTAACGGTAGAAGATTGTATTAAATTTTCTAGCGTCCTTTTAAAATTTTATACATTCTGGGGTTTTTTTAAGGCCCTAGAGTAAATTTTGGATGTGCGGGGATGGTTTGGGATATTTTTTTCCCCTTTTGGAAGGATTGACTGGTTTCTTGTGTATTACGACTCCAAGCAAATGCTTGTAGTTTTTTCCATCTTACATGTATGCCAATGAATGGTTCTTTCCCACACTTTAAATCATCTGAGATCTGCAGTACATTACAGTAAGCACTAACTCACCATATCAATGCGAAGCCCTGTGTTAGCTGCAGCTATCAACAGCAAAAATTGCTTCATACGTCAGGGGCAATCAGCAGAATACACCATCAGGTTTCTGTGAGATAGTAAACTGGGCATGCTTCTAAAATAGTGAGTGGATCTAACCTAACAGACATCCCACTGCCAGACCTAGTGCTGGATAAATTAAAACTTCAAATATATACTCTAGGAAAATGATACTTATCTGTACGTCTAATAAAACAGTTACGATCCAAACCAGTACAGTATAAAATCAATATGAAAGTAATTTAGGCCTTGTCCCAGACAATTTACAATTGTTCTGTTGTGAACTGTTAGGATCATACATCAGTGCCTGTTGCATGAGGGGATGTTGAGTATTTCTGTGGTGACACAGGCACCAGAAGATACTAGAAATTTGGTTAGTAATTAATAATATTGGTAATACGTTTCCTTCAAGCCAGCAGGCACATTTGTGAAAGGCATGTCTGTTCAGCATTGTCACCTAGAGACATCTACATTAGCTAAAAATTATCCTCTTTGAGGTCACAGTGCAACTGTAGAGCTGCAAAATGGAGCCTTTGGAGTGCCTGGTGAGCCTCTGCGTGGGGTCTCACCCTCAGGGTATTTCAGCACAGCAAGTCTAAGCTAATGCAGTAGTTAATTGATGCAAATTATCTTAGTTTAGAAAGCATCCTTTGATAAAGCGCCATGGTTGACACTAAACATCCTGTTGATAACAGCAATGCATGTTAAGTGCCAAAAAGTAGTTATGGCAAAAAGTTACATGCTCCTCATTACCTCCTCAAATTCAGTGCTACAAATCGTGCCTCCTCTAGCTCATTTCTGTGTCTTTTGCTCTTGGTTTGGGTATGTGGCAACAGTAATTCAGATGAATGAAGGGGATTTTAAAATAAAAGAATCCATCATGCTCTTGTATTAGGATCCAGACCTGTGGTCCCTAAGAAGGTCACCTTCTGTTAAATCCTGAAGTAACCACAAGGTTGTCTAAGCATCCTAAGTACCAGTCTCTTGGGGATATTTAGTACTTGTAGACTGGAATAAAGCTATTCCGGTTTACAAGAATCAGGCTCACAAATATGTGAGTTTAAGGCAAACTTTTTATACACACACTCTTGCCCTTTGCTACGGATTTTTAACCTGCTGCTTCCATCTGTCCTTTGCAGCAACAAACCAGCTCGTCATTATTGTATTGTAGGAGTTTTAATGTTAGGCAATAGTAATTAAAAATGAGCCTTTTAACCTGTTGGAAAATTGCTGTGGGCTGGATCCTTAACCAAAAATCCTGCAGCTGGAAGGTTAATTGAAGAGAAGGATACTGGAGATTCAGAACAAGGACATATGAAAGGAACTGAAGAAACTGAGTGTTATAAATATTTAATTTTTAATTTTTCTACTTTAATTGGCAAGCTGTCATTTAAGTCTCATACACAATAGTTAGACTTCTAAATATTTCTTTGTATAATTTAAGTTTACGTAGTGCGCAAATGAAGACACACTATAGAGAAATTATACTTATCTGTGTATCTAATGAAATTATAATTATTTGAATTTACATTTTGACCAAATTGCAACGTTAAAAGAGATATAGGCCCCATGTCAGAAAGAGAATTACTGCTTGCCATTTTTCCTATGGACTTTGCCACCCTCTTCTTTACGGGGACACATAAAGTCCAATGAATCACCTTCTCAAAGTGTTTATTTCTCTTTGGTGATTATTAATGGGATGCAATGATTCCCTTGCAGGTAGAATCAGAAACAAACAGGGTATGTCTAATGTTTGTTGTAGTGGATCTTTTTGTTATATAGTAATTTTCTCTAAAGGAGGAGGAATTTTTTGATATTTTGTCTGTTATTACCAGAACATTATGACAGAGTACTAATTAATGCTGTGACTTAAAATCATCCCATTGGTTTCCAGTTTTGATTTCAGAATAGGAGCTACAAGAGAGTCAGTAAGAATATTTTGTGTAGTACATATCTAGAGAAATAAGCCCAGAGAGAAAGATTAATTCAGAGTTCAGTACTTGCAAATGGAATAAAACAGGGTAAACAAACACAAGGCAAATCCCTCCTTATTGTTAGTGTTATCACGAGTAATTTTCCTCTTTTTCTCTCCAGGCATGATGACATCAATAGGAAAAGCCAGAAATTCAACAGTCAAAAAAGTACTGAAGATCCAGAGCTGCAGGAATTATTCCTCTAAACCACATCTCATGATGTCTCACTTTGTTTGAAATACCTGAAGTATATCCTTTTGAAACACTAATAGAGACATGTCCCTCACCAGCAAAACAGCAGCTGTTAGGATGCCTTAATTTGTAGCAGTTAGACCATATACAAAACTTTTTTATGATATATGTGTATATGTAACTTGTTTGTAAGCTGTGCTGTGGAAAGGCATGGGTGTGCAAAAGTAACAGTTTGAAAATTGTTATGACACAGGCAACCTCCAAAATGTTTGTTGGGCCACAGAACACATTTTGTACTTTGTGTCTTGCATGGATATATTGTCATGTATCTTTATTTCCCTTTGTCAATGGCATATACTGTCAAAGTTTCAGCCGGGACTGCCTACTCAGCTACTCAGTGAGACCAAGGCAAAAGCGTTTGTTTTTTTTTTATATGTTTTGTCTGTTGTTATTTCTATTTTTTGTAAAAAGGAAATAAAGACAGTGTTAATAGGACACACGGAGTGCAGATACTTCTCATATTTCACTGTTTCATCTTTTGAGCTATAAGTGTTTTATTGGTCTTTTTGGTGTTCATTTGATGAGACAACGTTCCAGTACCAGGATTTCAGTTCAGTCAATCAGTTGAGTCAAGAATTGCTTTAATGTTTAGTGCTCCCTTTTCAGCTTTAAAATGTGCAGAAATAAAAAGAAAGCATAAATGCAATTTTAAATTACTATTTATTGTTACTTGCCAAACACTGGCAATGTGCTCAGCTCTGTTCAAATTATTGAGTGATCTGCTAAGACATAGTCCATATTCTCTCACAGCTGTCGTGATCCTTTTATTGAATACTCTTTGAACCTCTCAGACAAAATCCAATCTCTTACTGAATTCACTTCATTTCTGGTAAACTATGAGTACATTGTGCAAGCGTGTCACACAGCACGACATCCAAAAGCACGCTGCTAGGCAAGCTTTACTTGAGACATGTATTTATATCAAATATGTATGTATATACTTGCTTTATTTTGATTATATTGATCTATTTCCTTTTGAAGACTGCTACAGTTCGATGAGAAAGATCCAAATACATGAGGATTTATTTTACTGGCTGCTCTAATAGAACATAGGGAGGTCATAGGGTGTTTGCCAAATAAATTTTTTATCGCAATCGTATAATCATACAGTGGTTTGGGTTGGAAGGGACCTTTAAAGATCATCTAGTTCCAACCTTCCTGCAGCAGTCAGGAACATAAGAATTATGAGGTTATGCAAATTAAATTCCTTTGATTGTGGAACTAGTAAGTAAATAATGTGGACACCCAAGAGGGGTTTGATTAAGTACAATGAAGTTGCTTTCTTTGTTTTCTGCTGTGTTCATCTTGACCATTGGGCTTCCTTTATGGTCAGTGAGAAGAGAGAGGGACTTCCTGAATGTGATTAATCCTGCTTATTATAGATATCTCATTTACAGGAGTACCAGTCTCTTCCTACTTACTACAGGGTAAGCTGAGGTAGTAATACTTAGTATTTGAATGCCTGTAATTAAGTGAGATAAATGTCTTTCTTTGGGTCACTTTTTCAGAGTGATGTCATGTTTGGCCATACAACCGCCATGGACCAAGATGACTGAATGCCCCAGGCAGCCTGCTTATAGGCTTTGGATAAGCACAGACTACTACTTGGTAAAATGAAGCCAACTGAGAGATCAGCAAAAAAGCCCACAAATAGAAATAATAAAAGCATGCACTTACAGAAATTAAATTCTGAGTTTCTTTCCAGAGTTCTTATCTGTCACTTGGCAAGACTTTGATTTTTGAACTAAAGTAATAAACCTAGCACTCTAGCTGACCTGAGCTGTGTTGTTTAAAGAAACAACCAAACCTCCAAAAATATCTGTCAGCCAGAAACAGCAATACCTCTAACTGGGCCTCCTGTCATCTGTGCGTGGATGAAAAGTCTGAATGCAAAGTGAGAAGAGACACATGGGCTGCAATTGCCAGAGGGCTGAAAGAGAGTAGAAAAAGGAGAGATCCTGTGTCTGGTAGATGGGCTTGAAACAAATTGGCAATTCATGTTTTTGAGAGTGTGAAGAGTGTTGACTATGGTCGTGTGAATGGCAGAAGCAGCAATCCTGCAGGGTGATCCTGACTGACTGGAGACGTGTCAAGTCTGCCGTAGCTATCTGTAGCATCTAGCTGAAGCAGGGGATAAAACTGAACTTCTGTGAAAGGATTTAAAACAGACCAAGGTGTAAGTATTGTCAAATCCTGGAAAAAAAAGAAATTGTCTGTTCTGAAGACTGAGGATTTAAAAGTCACCTGCTCCCTGATGGGTGGCAATTTCTACAGAGTATATGCTCATACAGCACAGTGAATCAAATTATGCAAGTATCGGAGGGCAATAGAGATTACTAAATGAGATAGGATTGGGATGCCAGAAGATGTTCAGGGTCTGTGGTTAAAGATATCTGCTAGGTAATTGATGTTGTGTCAAAGACTCCCATCCCAGATAACTGGATGATTGAATACAGCTGGGGAGGGCTGGGTGTTTCAAGCAAGAGCTACAGACGCTGTTCATATGGCTGTCTGCGATTCCTGAGCACACTGGGGCAGAACACAGTTTTGGGGCTGGCTAGTGCAAAAGAGAGGCCAAGTTGATGTAAGCATGAAAAGTAGCGCCTGGAGAGTTTTGTCTCTGCAGAAGGTGAACTCATGTTGTATAAACTGCTGATTTTATTTTTCCTAATTTGTAGTTTCTCTCCTACCTAGGGCCCCAAAGTCTACACGTGGTACACTCTGATGTCATGCCTATTAGAGAAATGCTGATTCTGTGATCTTCAGCTGGCTGAAGTGTGTACTCTGCATATTTGTATCCTTAGTAGCTATGGAATCCAGGTGCCGTAACTCCTTCTGTTTGGTTTATAGTCCTCCAGGCAGATCCCTCCTGGCATGAGTCTAAGTCAGACTTCTGTCAGCAAAGCATAAGCATTTCCCAGAGGCAGAAGAGCTGATCAGGGATTTTCCAGCAAACATCTTCAGAAAATATCAGTTAACCAAAGCTTTTAACAGGAGCATAAACCCCTTTTGATTACAACTCTTGGCAGAAAAGTTCCTCCCCTGTCCAGTCGGAAATTCCTGATCAAAAGAAGGTAGTGAAGTCATTTGCTACAGAGCCAATATGTGTCCTCATAAAACTATATGTATGGATGCCACAGATACGAAGAATGGCTTTTCATGTTCTGTCACTCCCAAAGATGTCAGAACAAGACCTCTCTGTATTTGTCCTGTAGTTCTGTACCAAAGATGATAAATAGCATATTGGAAAGCAGCAGTCAGTTCCCAATTTCATGTAATCTCTGGCTCTCCTCTTTTGAAGAATTAAAATCGTTTGCCTGGAGCCTTGTTTTTTTATGGCTGGGTGAGTCATTTGTTTGTTTCAGGTATTTGAGATGGGCAGCGTAAGGATACATGCAGTATCAAAACTGCAAGGATGATATTTATTTCATCAGCAAAATGGTGAGCTACGCTTTGTCCTGCATTAGAAGAGCACTTTATTTATTTGCCTTTCAGTCTCCATATTAGTGGGCAAATACATTGGTTTATTAGGCTACTAATGAATAAAATAGCTATAGTCGGCATAGTCGGTGGAGGAAGGAGACAAGTTAGACAAACAGTTTAGATTTAATATTCATTTCACTGTAACTGTCATTCAGATACCTTTTCTTAACATCAAGCTGATGTAAGATCAATGGCATAACAAAATACAACTGACAGCGCCAACAGTAAAAAAAATACTCCAACAGTAAAAAAAATACTCCAACATCCACTTATTTATAACAAAATGGTAACTGTCTCAGAAACATGTTCTCTGAGAGCTGATTTGTTGAATGTTTCATCACTTACCATTACAGCAATGTCAGAATATGGCCATGCAACACAGTCAAAACTAAAGTAAAAATGTCAGCACATCATATGCTAGGTATGAATTAATGGATTAGTGAATGGACCTCATGGTGAGATAACTCTTATCTGCATGTAGACTAAGATTCAGCTCCTAGTACCCTTGAAATATTTCTTAGGCTTTTAAAAACCTACTTGATGAAAATTTGACAGAACAGTCTGTTAAAAACATAGTTCTCTGCATTTGTATCGTCAAACTTCAAGGCGTAATTGTCATGAAATGATTTCTCAATGACATTATAGGAATAATTTCTCAAATTATATTACATTTCTTATTGTAAGTTCAGAAACTTCTAACTGTACATCAACTGTACCCAAGAATAGCCTGTTCCATAATTAACTTTTGTATAACCTTGTTACTCTGTTTATGCATTTTGAGGTTGTAAGTAAGTACACATTTGTGCATGAAAACTAAGTATATCAACAAATGTATACCCTGTAACCAAAATGCCTGCAAAGCACAGAACTATGTTGAGTATAAACTGCCCAAGTGAAAAATCCCAAGCACTGGATAACCAGCAGTTCATCCCCTGCCTCTGCACAGTATCACTGCCATACCACCTTCTTGCATACACCAGACATACTGCCCACTGTTTGTACCCGTCTTTTCTTCGTCATATTGACCAGTCAATATGTAACTTTGGCCCAAGTATCAGAGACTGCAGCCAGGAGAAATCAGGTAGGTTTTTAACATGCTGTGCAACTTCTTAGAAATAAAAAAAGGGGTGCTACGCACACAGCGTCCACCATCCATCCTCCTTGCACGCATTTAATAATGCATTACCAGTTTTCCAGATACTCTAGATTTTGTAACATGGACTGCTTTTGTCTAACATATATGGACAGCTATAAATACTAGCTCAAGCCATCTGTTTCCTGAAGAAAACATTACTCTTTGTCTTTGACATCTGCACAGCCACTTCCTTTCCCACTCTAACTGCTAGGTGTTTTGCCAATGCGCTTACTGGCAAGCAGCATATGGCAGGAAAGGAAATGATTATTCTGGGTATATTTGGGAAACTGATAAGAAATCCTGAGGCTGCTAGAACAAAGAGCTAGCTTTTACGTATCTCTTGTGTCAGTCAGCAATACTGCTCCAAGAAAAGACAAAATAAAACCATGTGGGTCAGGAAGGGAAGGGAAGAGGCTTGAAAGGAGTTTACCTTCCTTCCTGTGTAGAAGTGAACATGAACTTGCATGTAGATGTTCTACAGATATCTATAGAACCTCAAAAAACTGCAGAACAGGGACCAACTTGGGTTTTGCAACGCAAAAAGCTGTGGCCCTGCCATACACATATGTGTCTGTGTGTGCTTGTATGGATGTGCAGCAGAAGAAAAGAATCTCTACATTTTTCTTCTCAGCTGTGGATATGGACAGCAAACCTAGAAATATAGTAAATAATGAAACACGAAAGTGCACAAGTGCAAAGAGATAAGGAAACACTGAAAAGAAGTTACTTAATGGAAAAAAAAAAAAATGCAAGTGACAAAGACAAGACAACTGTCTCCCAGTACACAACCACACAGGACGATGGGAATAAACACCCC